ACTACATGTTCTACTCAAGCTTAACAATAATACAATGTAAGTCTCGTGCAATGCATATTGTTAAGGCAGATTTTAAAATTAGATCAAACCTGCAACATTACAAGGCTTTGAACAAGTCTGCCAAAATAAATCTGCTGAACGCAAAGCACGAAGCAATGAAGCATTACACCACATCGGACGGAGGTTGGTCACGAACCCAACTGAAGCCAGGTCGTTATAATTTGACCATGAAATAAGCGCTTATGAAGCAACGATCAGCCTGACGGTAACAATAATTAGAATAAGAGACAAAATAGTCAAGGGTGTCACGAAACTCAGAATAAAGGTCCAGTTGCATGAAGTGAACTTATCAACAATAGATAACCGTTGACAGCGTTCAAGTCCATATCATGCATTAACGGCATTATAACCAGCTGAAGTATGATAAGGCTCACCTGGTTTCAACGTCATTAAGCCGGAAATTGAAAACTCTCAGAAAGCCGTGGTTCTATTAGAACTGCTTCCGTACTTGTCGCGAAGATAGTAACTTCATAAGTTAGAGTTTAGAAAACAGGGCAAAAAAGGAGAGAATTTCCCGTTTCATTTGCAAACCTGCGAAAAATACAACTATATAAAAACAGCGAATAAAATTACATAAGAAATCGCTAGACTAAAAAATGAAACTTACATTCTTCAAAATCACCACAATTTCAGCGAACTGTAGGTCTTAAACCGAAGTTCTACCATCCAATTACGCTAGCAATGGAAATGATTAGCAGGTACAACTTAAGAAATGTTCGAAGTTGAACAAGAACTGGCCGATTAGACACATCAATCGAGTCGCATTCATGGCTGTTTTATTGTTATCATTTATGATGAACAAGTCTTAAATAACAAAATTACTGAAATAAATCATGGCAAGTCTGATTTATGAAATGGGCTCTGCTCAATCCTTCCTGTACTGCCGGATTCATATTCATTCCCTAACCTGTTTCGTCCTGAAGCATGTTTTCATGAACAGTCTTGACAAACTTACTTACAAAAGAGAATATAACTAACTTAATTCTAACGCAGAAGTTTGTAAGATTCGGCAGCGTAAGCCAGCCTGCTGTACCTTTTAACCGAAACAAGATAGAAAGGTCTATTTCACTGAAGTGGAGAAACCCGCGGGTATTTCGAATAGTTGAGGAGTATGCAAGGAATATGAAGAATGCATTTTGTATGGTTAAAATATTTAAAAGCAAACGAATTTTAAGGTTCAGACAAATTTGGCGGCTGCATAGTGATATGGCGAGTTCATTTCGCAATTATAAAGGGAACAGTTATGCAAATCCTAAGAAGCTTAGTTGTCCAATTCTGTGGGAAGTGTGCATCTTTTCGTGAAAATGCAGCGTAGCTTAGCTGCTGTTCCGCATCATTCTCCGAGCGGCAAAGTTTGGATGCCCAATTGGCAGTTCTACCGTAAGATTTTGAATAATGTTTCTGAGAACTCTCTAGGGTATGAAAACTAGTAAAAATCCGAATCTTTTTCCATTATATAATAGATCGATACTTTTATTTTTCGTTAAAACTTCTGTTAATAGTTTTGCTTGCTAATTTATCCTAAATGCCATTTATTTCTTTATTAAATTTGAGCAGATTGAAACTTTTTCATCAATGCTGAAAACAGGATTATTGGGTAATGCATTCAAGCAATTAAGATTTAATTTTCAGCTGATTGTAAAGCATGTGAATAAGAGCTAATGAAGGATAATAAACAGTGAAGTCAACTGAACAAGATAGGAAGCAAAAGATACCAAGTCGATCCAATTACTCATTCGCTGGAGGAATTCGTATAACTTTCCTGACAGAAAACAGCAACATTGTAAAGCAGTTAGCAGACCAGTTCTCTCTAATTATGCATGCCAATAATAACTGCTCTCTAGCGACATGGCGAATGAATGGTTATATATATATCAGATATATGTACATAGACATTTATATACACATTCTTTGCAATTAATCATTTGCAGTTCAGTGTGTTTTACAGTGAATGATTGAAGGTCGTGTGAAATGTTATTCATCATAGAAAGTATCAAAATTTCCACCCTACTTCGCCTTAAATTCACCAACGCACATTTGAATGACGGTATATTAATCAAGCATCAATTAAACATTTGCCTTATTCAGTTCTGATTATGTTCGGTATCAGAAGGTCTCACAATGCACCCATTCTTAATATAGCGGGTCAGTTAAGCATTTACTTGCACATGAATAGTGTATCTATGGTTTGATCCGCAATCCTCTAGCAGCAAAGCAAATTATAATTTTCTGGCAGAGCCTTCTAAAAGAATTTTGCACTTTATCACTACCTTTCGGGATATGAACCACTGTTATTGGCAGACATATCAATCAGATGCAGCGACAAGAGAGAATTGAGCAATGCATCTAGCAACAATAAAAATTTTATAAGTGAATACCGAGCTTAAACACGTTTGCATAGCAGAAAGCTTACGTTCAAGGTCATTTCTCATCTGTGACTCGA